CCTATGCCATACTGGTGGTATCAGTTCTCAGTCTATCCCATACTAGTGGTATCAGTCAGCCTATCCCATACTAATGGTATCAGTTCTCAGCCTATCCCATACTAGCGGTATCAATCCTCAGCCTATCCCATACTAGTGGTATCAGTCAGCCTATCACATACTGGAGGGATCAGTCCTCAGCCTATCCCATACTGGTGGTATCAGTCAGCCTATCCCATACTGGAGGGATCAGTTCTCAGCCTATCCTATACTGGAGGGATCAGACATCAACCTTATGTCAAATGTAACCTGAGTACCGTTTGGTAAATCAAATGATAACTCATTTGAAAGGGCAATTCGACGTGACTGCAATGGAATAATTTACAAAAAGCATTACTGAGACCTTGCATGTTGCAATCAGGCTACTGCCGCATGACAGAAACACTGCTGGGGTGTCTGGCAATGCACACCTTTTATGTTTATGCGAAAGTCCTACCCTTAGGATATGCTTACTCTTCTTCGCTAAAACCTGATTTTCAGTTGTCTTTTCACATCGTTTTAATTGCCCTTAACATCAACTGGAATCTGGGGATAGCCAATACTGTCTATGTTTTTCTATTAAGGTTATGTATTCTTATGAGAACACAGGTCACATCATAGTTATTTCCTGTATGTTGGTACTAATGTAACAATTGGAAAGTACTGGTGGAATCAATGATGTGATGATTTTATTTGTAAGAGTGTAATGTTCAACAACACATTCTAGTCAAAGATGTTTACTGTATTCCTGTGCGCCAGATCAAAAGAAATAAGGTTTCGTGCCTTCAATCAGATACTCGTGCTTTGAACTGAGCATTGCGAAAGTATTGTCGAACTCTGCCCAACACAAATAAACTGACGACTTGAGTAACAGTGCGTGCGCATCTGATATGGTTCCACTCTGCATATGACATCACGTTGACAACAAAAGTAGGTACAACACAATCCACCCTTTGTGCGGAATCGAACCCATGACTTCCGGACTCGCTACCACCAGGCTTCCTCAACGTCCAAATAATATACAAGGTCTAAAGAATGGTGAGTCCATAAGTTCCGCAACCCGACTTTTCAAGTCAGTCGGATCTAAAGCCACCTCTGGGCATATCCATTTAATATCAAGGCATAGGACACCAGCACATGGCTTCCGACTTACATCCAAGGGGGGAAAAACGACCCAGTACTTCAACGTTTAACACTTTAACCAACTAGCTACGCTACTGCCCTGTGACGTCTCGAACCACGACGAATTTATAAGACTAATCAGAACCTTGGTCCTGTTAATGCCCATGAACGCATTTCTTGATGGTTATGGAATTGACACATTATTACTGCCTTTGGCGTATGTGGGCATGCAGGGGTATTACATCCAGGTTTGGGCATCCCTTACTACAAGAACGTCTAGACCGTCAGATTATTAACAAGCTGTCTCACGAAAGTCAGCATAACCTGTTCTGGCACGTTCACTGACTGAGTTTGGTGTTACGCCGCTTTTAGCAATATTCCAGCAACATCACGGCGGGGGACACCAGAAATGGGCTTCACACATTGTGCCCATGTGAGGATTCGAACCCGGGTCTTCGGCGTGACGAGCCAACGCTTTAACCACTGGGCTACCCCACCGCCCCTCTGGCACGTACAAGTCAATGGCATTAACTAAACATCAGTTTGTATAACACAAATGCATCTGAAGGTAATAATAAGCATATTCTGTACCAAACCTTTAAACATATTTTTAGGAAAGCCATGTTATGCAACTAGCTTAAATTGACACTTTCTGAAAATTAAAGGTAATTGCACAATTATCAGAACCATGTCTAAAGTTCATGTACATGGCCACAGGGGATCTTGCTGCAAACCAGCGAAGAGAAGGGAAAACTACATATTCTTGAAAAATTAACATGTTGAAGTACATGGAACTCGGACAAGTGAAAATGAAGTTCGAGGTGCCTTTTAGCGCTGCAAATGTTTTTATCTAGCTGCTTCGTGATATGTTCTCAGCAATTATGAATACTGGCTATTAGATACATAATTAGAGCTACATTATCAGTAATAACAGAAGCATTGTGTGCTTTCTTCCTGTGGATTACCCGATGGCGTTCTCAGGTGCTGTGTATTTTTTGCAAATATCAGTGCCTCATGGTCAGGAATTTTAATAGCTTCATGTAGGATATGCGGAAATCCTTTTTCTTATTATTTCTTTTTAACAGATCAAGGACTTTGTATCACAGTAGAATGGAGGATGTAGATCAGAAGAATGTATTTACCAATGAAAGTGTGGCATTGACGTATGCCAGTGACGTGACATGTTTTGTAGTCGTTCGCACAATATCATAACATTAAGTAAATTCATCCCCTATTGTCAGCGGTGTTGGTCGATTAGAATCAAGCCGATTTAACCACCTCATGCATGATTTAACATGTGTTCTTTATTAGTATGCGCTTGAATTAAAGATATATTTGAAACTTTCGCAAATTAATAGTGTTTTGGATTTCATTTGCAAATTAAGGAACTAGTCACATTTCACTGAGATCAAATAAGAGTAGTTCACCATATAACACAATGTACAATACATATGCTGGGTCTAACTCTGTACTCGAGTTATATCCTTTACGTAAACCAGCACGGGTTAGTGATAAAGATAAATGTTCTAGGTTGATGCTGGTTATGATAGTACTCTATCCTTCATTCACCAGCATAGGATCTTAGTGTAACGCTTTAATGGAAGGTACTAGGCTGTTGTAGGTCATTGTAGAACTATACCCCTAAAATAATTCTTTTGCAGCATTCACCAGCATAGGTGAGTGTGTGAGTTCATATTTAAGTTCACATCGGCAATACTGCAGCCATATCGTGACGAGAACAATTTATTTTATATCAATATTAATATCAATAAATTTAGAACGTTAACACCTGTCATCGAAGGACAGTAATAATACTAGACGATCACAGCTCTTAATTAAAACTAGTACGCTATCATAAAAATAAATCACTAGATACAACAATACAATATAAACAACGAGCTATAGATCACCAACAACTGAAGGTTGATCACCATACTAGGGATAATAGGGACTTACAGTACCTTTGCTACCTACATGGACAGGGTAGATACTTGGCTGTAGTAGGTTATTGCAGAACTATACCCCTGAATTATTTCTGTTCCAGCATTTACCAACATAGGATCTTAGTGTAACGGTTTAATTGAGGGGAGAGAGGGAGGGTAGGTACCAGGTTCTTGGAGGTTATTGCAGAACTGTATCACCAACATAGGTCTTAGTCTAACGGTTTAATGGTAGGTTCTCAGTTCTCGTAGATATCCCTGAATGTAACTCCACCTCTGCGAAAACCAGCAAAAAGGTGTTACTGCTACCTCTTCATGGTATAGAGGTAGGTTTTCAAATGCTGTGGGTAATTGTATAATTATTTCCCGAAGTTACATTTCACAGCTTAATAAACAAGTATATATTCTCGGTGTAATGCTTTTAACAGTCCCATAACACACTTCTCCAACTGTTGTATGGTAAATATATTGATCGATGGAAATCTCTGCAGATATACAATTTCCGCCCCCTATTCAGCATTTATATTTCCCAATAGTCTCAACGACACATTCTCTATCGACCCATGCCGTGTAACAGTAGACGGTCCTTTCATAAACACAAGCTGCTGTTGGGCATATCAATAAGTTATTCTAACAATCGTTTTGTACATAAGTGATTTTGCTTTTAAAAAATCACAGCATACTCCGTGGTGCTATTCTAACTCCTCACTCAGTACACTAGATATCGATTGTTCCTTACAATTCATTTTTCCAGGTAATGCTACTTAAATACACCTTTCAAGGAGAAAGGAAAGAAAGATTGCTATATATCAAATTTTGCTTCAAACATTACCAAATTTGATATCTCGATATTTAAATGAAATAAAAACTGACCATAAATTTTAATACCAATCTTTCAAACATCCATCTCATAAAGCATGTAACATATTAATAGTTCTAAATTATTGATTTACTAAATTTCATTTCTCTCGACCGTAGAGATTGCATACAATATAATATCAGCTACACAGGGAACACTTTGAAGACCTGGGTTTTTTTTCATGCACTGAATAAAACAAATGATGGTAAACCCAAAGAGAATCGCTGTTAATTAGCAATTAGATGTTGTTTAACTGGAAGATACATGCAACATCAATTTCAAACATATGGATTTCTCTTCTAATGAAAGGACTACTTGGACTTCAACTGAAATCCCCCTGTCGTTGCAAACGTGTACACATTCCATTATGCAGAACGTATTAACTGTCTACGGTGTACAGATGAAGATAGAGATACGTATATCGTGTGATGGTATTTGTAATTGGTAAGGGATAATATTGTCACCTTCAGGACACGTATTAGCAAGGCTTGAGCGCACAAAACACAATTAGTGTGTGCATTTTTACTGAAGTTTTCATTAATCTGCTTGTCGACATAGTAATGCATAATATTGTAATCGGCAACCACCAACACACAATCCTAATAATCATGTGTCAGGCATTTTGCTCCGTTTTCATAGGTTAGATATCTACCATAGTTCACACGTATAATGAACTATGTAAGTGGCTGAGGATGAGGTATTTTATCTTAATGCAGCTTGAAACAATCATTTGACCAGGTAAACATGTGAGTGACATTAGGAGCATCACCTCCTGACCAAGGTTACACTGACCTGAATCTATTGATCTTAACAACCCTATACGTTTCCGCGGTCTCTTACGACCAGGTTAGACTACCTGGGGGCCCGTGTCACAAAGCGATCGTAGCGCTACTACTGTCGTAAGTCTATGTTAAAGTGTGAGAGTTACGATCACCTTAGCGCTACGATCCCTTTGTAAAACGTGGCACAGAGACCTGTTTGTTCCGCCTGGGGGTCTACATCGTACTTTCAATCCTGTATGAAAAGAACAAAGTAGAGTTTCGAAAAACTCGTGCACTTACCTAGAAGAAGTGTGAGCATATCCGACACGGCAAGACTGAACAGGTAGTAGTTGGTTGCTGAGTGGAGATACGAGTTCTTTGTTATGACAATACAGGTTGACATATTCCCTATCACCCCTGTCAGAAAGATCACACTGTACACGATCGTGAGCGTTATCACAGATGCCAAATCCTTCCGTCTTTCACCAAAACTCTCCACCAGGAAGTCCTCCACGTCAAAGTTGCTCGTGTTGGTCCTGACATCCCCACCGACAGCGCCGGGCAACACCTTCGTGGAATCGTTAATCAAAACAGTTGCTACAATGTGGAATTTTGATCCGTTGATTACATAATTTGAGACCATTTCAAAGCAGATTTCGTGGACGAATACACATTCAAAAACGGTATAACACCTAACGTATTAACCTTTGGTTGACAATTTTCCCGAAAAATATTCACAATTTATTATTTGAATCGGATGTAGTTTGACGCTTTAAATGGCTAGGAAAGTTTTAGTTTGTTTTCCACTATAGCGGTATCCACACATAGGAACGCATCAGTTTAACTGTTTAACGATATTCCTTTAAATTGATGAGGGAAGTGATGTTCCCTTGTGAAGCGCAAATCCATCTTTTTACCCCATCCGCTCGCAAACACACTTCAATCCCTTCTGTGAGAACTTGTGTATCCTGCACAAAGCAAATCAAAGCTTCTGTGCCTGCTCTGACAGACTTCGGCTACAACACCCACACGTGTCGTTTCAACGCAACAAGTCCAGTAGAAGACCACACTGCAACATCGCCTACCATTGTGAAGTACGTGAGCCGAGAGACGAGCGCGCGGCCGCCCGTCCAAGTGTCAATACTCCGAGTAGTCACATAGCAGGAGCATCGGGCTTCTCTGCCGTCGTACAGTGAGCGCTGATTGATCAAATGAGTATGTACCTCGCTCGCTATCTATTGTCAATCCTGAAATAATTGCTGGTCTTTAGGGCAAGGTGTATCTGTTAAACCTATCGACAGGGGTGTGAATGGAGTTCCGTACAATATGTTCGTAGTTGGGAACAAAATTCGTCAATGCCTTCACAGGTAACCCTTAGCTTTTACGATGAATTGCGAGGGTAATATCCTGCACAGAGCGGGACGTCACGGCTTATTGGAGCCAGACTCAAGAGAGTGTTAGGTAATGTCTTATCTCGAGGGATATACGGGCTGTAATAAAACGGAAATAATTCTGAAACAAATAGTTGGAGTCACGCAGTGTTGGGAAATATCTAACACTCTGGTGGTGTTGTGTTCAAGGTTAGGATGGTGTTCAAGGTTAGGATGAGATTGTTATACGATATGAAGGCCATGTTTATGTTAATTTACGTGATGCTTTAATTGTAATGCTATTAACTGCATCGATCGTGAGTCATTTTGAGTGGAATATTTGCCAGGTAATATCTGCCTAATAATTACGTAACTGATTGTGACGACAAATCAGCTGTTGACAGCTGTTATAACACAAAGGGTATGGCGATACGACGGTAGGGTTAGTTGTTTCTTCAAACTTATCAGGTTCTGTTTATGTAATTTTAGACCAGCATAATTTGTCTTTTACTGCCTATCATTAAGCTATTAGTTCTGTTCTGTTCTGACTATAAGAAATCTATAACTGTGGTAAATGATCAATTAATAATTACTAATCATCTTGCCACTGCAAGGATGGCGAGGTGTGAATCGATGTTTTTGTATTTATTTTCTTTTTTCAGTTAGTAATATTTTCTTATTGATTTTGTATGGACATAAAGTTGCTGATACGGTGGTGGAAACCCTACGCTCGCTCGCTCGCTCACTCACTCACTCACTCACTCACCCACTCACTCACTCACTCACTCACTCACTCACCCCACCCAACCAACCAACTTACTCACTCACCCGACCAACCGACTCACTCACGCACGCACTCAATCAATACCACGTCACTCACCATGTATCAAAACACAATAAGTGACGATTACCATTATACCGGTCAGTCCACTCATGGGGTATATTCTTAATATTTCAATGAAATTTACGAGGGACATCAGCTTCAGTTCTCATCTGGCCACTACATCTATATGGAACTATAACCAGACTATCGGCCCTCGCACGAACAACAACCTTGAAAGCTTCCACGGTAGATTAAACAAGGCACTCCCACATCACCGTCCTAACATCTACCGATTTGTAGAGATCATCCAGAAGATTGAGATCGCAGAAAGAGCCAAACTGCAGCAGATCAACGTTGGTGCTGCTCCCACAAAGTAGACGAGGGTCTACAGGGAAACTGAGAACAGGCTGAGGCGTCTGTAAGAGAGACTGCGTGCAGGAGGGATGACAAACATGGAGATCCTCGATACAGTTGGGCATTTGCCTGTATAGTGAATGATGTGAAAGATGTGAAATCTTAAATGTTGAATGGTTTGAATGACCATTTAAATTATCTTGTTAAATTAACTTATTTTGTTTTTATGCCAAATAAAGTCATTACAAAGTCATTCATTGATCATTTAAATTATCTTATTATTAATTACCTTTATGTCAAATTATTATTATCCATAATCTCTCTCTTTGGGTTTGGATTAGTACATAACCTTTGTTGTTTTAACGCGTCTAACTTTTGGGAGGACACCGGACACAGACCAACATCGGCGGTAAAAGGACAATCGAGATGTCATATGATTGAATTACTGTGACGTCGGGCACCTCGAAAGTTGTTGTCTCGTTCGGGTCAGACTTGGGTCATGCGCTACGGGTTGCAGACTTTTGTTAATTATGACAGTAATATAATAAGGCTGTCCGTTGTGGAAGGACCGTAGGCGGTTTGAGGTAAATATTTGAAAACTACGTGTTATTCCGCAGTTACTTCTCGTTCAGGCAGAATTTAGAGAAAATGACACTGATATTGCAACAGAAAGGCAGACTGACGTCTTTACAATATGAAGAGTTGATGCCATTGCGCAAGCTTAATGGTTACATGAGGTGAGGTGAGGTGAAATTGGGTTTAACGTCGTGCTTGAGAATATTTCGCTCATATGACGACGTGCATGCGTGTGTATATGTATGTGCGGCTGCTTGTACTAGCCCAGACTTAAGCTGGTTTTATAGTGCTAGCCCACTGAGATACCATACCGCAGTGAAGCATGAATACCCCACTCAGACACAGTATACTGACTCCGAGCCGACCAATCCTTGTTGTACCCATTAATGCCGAGCGCCAGGCAGGGACCAACAAGTACCATATTTTAACGTCTTTTGGTATGACGCGGTCGGGGATCGAACCCGCGACCTTCCGCACTCCGGGCGGACGCTCTAGCCACTACACCACGGAGGCGGTCTGTCCGTTGTGGAAGGACCGTAGGCGGTGTTATTCCGCAGTTACTGTCGTCTCGTTCGTGTAATATCAGGTGGCATTTAGAGAAAATGACACTCATATTGCAACAGAAAGGCAAACAGACTTTTTTACAATATGAAGAGTTGATGCCATTGCGCAAGCTTAATGGTTACATGTTTACTAGTATATCACGTATAAGTCAACTGCGAATGGTCTCTGGAGGGGACGTTCTTTGCCATACCTTTTGTTGAGGTAAATTCAAATTTAATTATCTACAGCCCAGTCGGCAGTATATATATATATGATGCATCTAGCTATGCCCATATTCGGTGTTTTTGGTTGTTTTCTTAAGTGGTAAACATAAACAACGTTTCTTTGAAGAATAGATGACACGGCTGTTCAAATACCGCTCATGAAATAATAACACACCCACCAATATATATGTATCAATCCGTGAAGATGCGGATTAGAATTGGTCTTCAACAACCCATGCTTACCGTAAAAGGCAACTAACTGGATCAGGTATCCCAACGGATCACTGGATTGTCTGGTCCAGACTCGATCATTTGCAGACCGACGCCATGCAGCTAGAATAGTGCTGAATGTAACGTTAAACAAGAAGCAGACAAACAAACACACTGTACGTGTATTACGACTGCAACTTCCAATTTCGAAAAAAAACAAGATTTGTCTTCCTCCTGTTACAGAGATTAGGGCAGCGTCTGTCTTGTAGGTGCAACTGCGGATATTAAAACTGATATACTGCTCAAAGTTTCAGTTACCGTGCATCCTGGCAATCTATAGATCGTCATATATCAGCCTCGGTAGACTACAATGTCTACTTAATTAGAACCATCGACCGTTATGTGCATCTTAAATCTTGGTATGAGCTGGTAATCCCTGTTAATTTAGCAACTGTATTTGTAAACAGAAAAATTGATCCGTTCGAATTCCGTCATTCTGTGTACCGTGAGTAATGTATCGCTTTAAGCTTACAGATAACCGAAGCAGTCTTGTAATAAATCTGTTTAGAAATAACAATTGTATTCAAAGGTAAAAGTGATAATGTAGTCCAAAAGAATATGACGAACCTTATCCGTCATTTCGAGACGACCCTCAGTGACAGGGGAGGTACTAACTCTTGTTGTATAATGTTTTAGTTTGTTGTTGTTGGTGGTGTTTGTTGTTTAACGCCACATAGAACAATATTCCAGCTACATGACAGTGGTCTGTAAATAATTGAGTTTGGACCAGCCAATCCAGTGATCAACAGCATGAACATCAATCGATGCAATTTTGATATCATCATGCGTCAACCAAGTTAGCGAGCCTGACCACCCGATCCCTTTAATCCCATATACAACAAGCATGGCCCCATGGGGTGCTGAAGGCCAATTCTAATCCGGATCCTCGCGGGTCTCAGAAGAAGCCCTGGTTGGGACAAATGCTTTATTCGACATTCAAGTTAGTAAATTGGCTGTGGTTATCAAACAGCATTTATAAGTAGAATATTGTCAACAAGGGTTAAAAGCATCCAAAATCATCACTGAATAAGGAAACTGTTATTATCAGCCATTCGAACAAATTTTGCGGCGGCCATCAAGGATTTCAAAATGGCCGCCAGTTTTCATCCGCTAAATAATTGTCATATATAACATGGTAACTGTGATACTTCAATGCATGCATGATACAAACGAACGTTCAGTTCACACATACTATATATTCCGTTGTGTTGCATTTAAAACTAAAGCTAGTCTTTTAATGTACATGACTGTCTATACTGAATCATGTTGGAATATCGCCAGACATATATGAAAAAAAACAGCATATGTGAAAGTTGCAATGCTTTTGACGAGTTAATCATCATTGTTTTGTTGGTTAAAATCCATATTCTTTTGTTTCTAAAACCTCACATGTGATCAGGAAAGGTGAGTGTTTGTAAAAACCAATAAGTAAGTATACCAAACATTTAATCTAGAAGCCCATTTTGGAGACGATAAGGAACTGTATACGGTAGATGGCTTTATGAATGGTTTAAGTCGGCAATGTATTTGTTCATTAAGATCCGGTTCAGTCAGTTCAAAAGCATTTGCAAAATGTTTTCGATTGGATCAAATTTTCAAGGTTCATTGTTTATTGAAAAAGCAACGCCTGGTTTTGCAGCTGCCGCTGAATACAATACCCCATCCTCTCAAACGCCAAATGGTCGTTTTCTATGATATTTGAAAAATATAACAAAGGCCTAC